TAAGAGCTTCCCTTCCATACTTCTGTGTCACAGATGGATTGGGAACAGCCATAATAAATTAGAAGTAGAGAGAGAGTTCTTGGCAAGTGATTCCCCCACTCAAGGCTCTCCAGTGTTCTGGAACTCTTCAATTCCAATTTGACAGTCTTTCTCTCTGGAGCCCTTTGCTTGAAACCCAGTCCCATGCAATAAAGCACGTTCACTTCATGCAACACAGCTCAGTTATTGCTTATAGTTTCAAATGCCCCATGGTACTGGGCACAGCTCAGCTAGGAGTGCCTGTTAGGAAGGAACATGCATAGCGCAGCAACAGGGGTTGTTTACCACCAAACACAGAAGGAAAGGAGCTGCAAAGCTACAATAGCCAGAGGAAGACTAGCTTTCCTGATTCCAGTCCACAAAAGCCTCTTGCCTCTACAGGTCACTAGTTTAACATGGCATTTACTCTTGGCTGTGAGACGATATTACATCCAAAGTAAATCAGATTAATTCCCAGGCTTATCCAGCATCAGGCCGGAGTCTTTCTTCAATTGCAGTTCTTCCCTCAAAGCCAGTCCTAGGCTTTTGCATTCATTTTGTTAAGTGACTGAATTGTCCTGAAATGTGAATTTCCTCTAATCTCTTCCACTTTGCAAACTCCAGAAGCATTTGATCAATAAGTAAAAATCCACGGGAGAACTGACTGTGAGCTAAGCTTCAGACATGCAAAGCACACAACCCTGGGAAACGGTAGCACTGGGGACAGGAGGCTCCCATGACTTCACATGAAGGGCACGGGTTTTGCAAATCAGACACACAGAAAACCAGAAGTGGCCCAGGTTGGCCACACTGTATGGGATGCACAGTTGAGGGAGGATCCAGACCAGGGAGCCACCTGTTCCTGTAGCTTGCAGACATTTAGTTCACACCACCTCAGGCCACTCACAGTTTGCTTACCTGCTCATTGTTGCTCTCCCACCATTTCCCATACTCCCTTTGGGGGTGAAACACTCTATTTCCGACTTGTGCTGGGCCAGTCTCCTGTCTTTGTACCTGGTGAGCATGAACAAGGACAGGAGCAAACAGAGAAATATGATTGTGTGCTTAACTGGCCAGGCTGAGGAAGAGCTGTGGCTGCAGAGGGCTGCCCCATACCAAATGGGCTCCTGCTTTTCACTGCAGTGGCTGACCGGTGATAACTTATTAGATGATTGTGATGGTATATGGATAACACAGAATGGTTTTGTTATTTCTTGGTAAAACCCATGTGATCTACTCTTTTACATTTACTCTTTTACATTGCCTATTAATCTGTGAATTCATCACATTTAACAGTCAGTGGTAAAAGGGAGGCAATTCTTAGCATCTAACAATAAATTAGAATTTTAGTGTTCACCATGTGCCAGACATTGTGCTAGAACATTACTAAAATTTAATCCTGGCAATAAACCTATGGAAGAAGCTTTGTTTTTAATGATGTCCACTAGAAAATAAACCCAAGATTGTAAGGATTAAGTAGATTGATCAAGGATTTTGAACACAGGGAGTCTAAGTTTGGAACCCATACTTTTAGCTATTATAATGTGTTGTCTTCCATTATTAGTTTTTTGAAAAAATATTTCTTAGCATTAACAAAGCTTCATTGAGTGGTACTGTGTCTGAGCATTTTACTAGAGACTGGCGATGCCAAAAGAGAAAAGAGATATTTCATGGATGTGAGAGGCTTTTATAACCATTAAGCTGAAGTTTGAAGATCAGTGTTGGGCTGCCTGCATTGTGGAAGGTATCAGAATTGGCAGTTCGCCACACCTGGAAGGTACTAGCTATTTCATCTAAAATGAGTTATGATTCCCAACATTAGTCTGCCAGATGGTACATCAACATGAGCCCTTATATTTGAGTGACAGTTTTCAGAGCCAACATGATTTCACGGCGATAATCTCTTATATTCCTTAATTTAAGCCTGTGGGATAATTAAGGATGCACTGCTATCCCTATGTGCCAAAGGAGACTTACTTAGCTGACTTTACCAAAATCATAGGCCTAGTTGGTAGAGAATAACTGGCAGTAGAGTTTGCAGGGGCTTAAAATCCCTAAGGTTCATTACCTTTCTCCTTTCTAAAACTGGAACCTGATATGATACCACTTCGTCCATGTTCCTGGTATTCAAGAGGGAATAATAAAGTGACTTCCTATCAGAAGACTTGTTTACCTTTGGTACAGATGCTTGTTAGCAGTTTCTCACCCTGATGTCTCAAAATTAATATTAAATAAAACAAAATGCAACAAAATTAAAATCACAATTAGTCTTAGGACAGAGGCCTTCCTCTTAATTTTTTTCTCTTTTAAGATGTTAAAAGTATTTATTATTTGAATGAAAATGGCTCATTAAATCAAGCTAAATGGATAAAATGGATTTCCTTATTCAGTAGACTTTAGATGAATATCTTTTGAGTTCTAGGCAATGGAATTTGTCCTGGAAATATAGAGAGAAATAATTCAGTCTATTGGGAGAAGGAAGGAAAGAAGACAGTATATACACAATAAGTTTAAGCCTAAAGAAGTCACAGGTTTAGGGCATAAAGAAGAGAGGAAAAGAACTTTTAGACTTGTAGAGGAGGTAAAGCATTGGACCAAGCCAGACTGAGCACACTTGACTTTACCAGAGAAAGAGAATCTGTCTCTCGTGCAGTACCAGTCATTGAATGACATTGCTTCGATAGAAAATAAGTCATGCTTACTTGCAAATTGGATTGCACAACCATAATGCTGATCTACAGCTTATATTAAAATAATGCTAATACTAATAGAATAATTGATAGTTATTCAGTTCCTTATAAAGGGCCCTTAAAGTATTTTTTAATATATTCTTGTTAGACTAATTGCCCGTTAACTTAATTCTTTCATAGATAATTCAGGGCATCTATGCTCTTCATGGTACTAAACTCCTCTTTCTCTCTTCTCTCTCCTACACACACTCTGCCCAGTGACTATTTAGAAAACAGCGCTTAAGCATCCTGTTCTACCTGTCTACCAAAATCCAACTTCTTCTGGTGAACGATTTTACAAAACAAAAGACAACAAAAAATACAAACTCCAACTTATTCCAATAAAGCAACAGATACATTAGATATTTTTGGAACTTTCGAGTAGTTTTTGTATTAAGGTATGGTGAAAATGCCATTTTTTAGATTGGGAAGCCCATGTTTGCTTTTGAATGGGACCCTTCTTGCCTGTCTGTAATTACAATTACAGCTTAATTATGTTTACCAGGTACTTAACAGACCACATTTTCATTCATTCACTTATTCATTATCCTAATCGACAATAACGTGCTGTTTAAAGTAACGAATAATGCTTTTATAATCTCTACTGCAGATGTACAATTCTTTCTATTTGGGTTTATTTCAGAAATATAGAACTGTTAATTAAAAATAGTTTAAACTTTTCAGAGTTTATAGCTTTTAAATATCAGCTAAAATTGTTTCTTTTATATAATAAATTCATATATATTTTAGGTACTTACTAAAACATATACATACATACACACATGCACACACAGAGACATGCTTATGAGGCACTGTTTTAAGTGCTTTACAAATAGTAACTCACTTTTCAAATAAAGTATTTAGTTAACTGTAATTATATTTGAAGTCATAATAGAGATAATAATAACAGAATATTGAATATGCCAGGTTCTTTTCTGTACCTTATCATCAATTCTTAAAACTACCCTGCAGAACAGGTGCTATTCTGTATTCCAAGGGGGCAGATATTGAGGAACAGTGTCAGTAAGCCCAAGCTCACACCATGTATGAGTGGAGAGCCCAAGATAAGAAATTGGGCCTCCTGATCCCAAAGCTCACACTATTTCTATTAAGTTCCCTCTACACAACAATGTCAGTAACTTTGGAAACAAAATCATAAAGACTTGTTATTTCCCTTTTCTCTTCATGGCCTCATATTGCAAATGAGCAGTAGAGTTCACAGAGATTGGCTGGTAGAGGATCTGGTACATAACTTTAAAATGTGTTCCCTCATTTGGGTTCCTATAGATGCACTACATGTGTTTACATAATTCAAACCATTTACTGAATACTCTATGTGCAAGGTGCTGTAATAAGAAGCATGTGGGTTCTCCATGCTGTTGCTAAATTCACAGTCTAGAGTGGGAGGATGAAACATAAACAGATAATTTTAAAACAATGTGAGAAGTTTTATTATAGAAACAAATACAAGAAGGGTTACTTAACCCATACAGAATGGCAGGAAAAATCAGTGAGATATGATGCCTAAGATAAATCTTGAAAAATAAGTAAGAATATTGTGGAAAAAATGGGTAGGCAGGCAGAAGAAAAATCAAAAGCAAACATGGGGAGAGGTTTAGCAGCATGGTGTTATGGGGAAGCAGTGTTTAGTAATTTTTGTTGTGATCAGGAGTAAAATAAGAGAATGTAAAATGGGCACTGTTGATGGAGAGGTATATAAAAGGTGGCTTATGGAGGAATTTACCCTGTAGGTTATGAGATTCCACTGTGAGATCTTTCAGCTAAGAAAAAAGTGGTCAGAGTTGACATTTAAATAAAATTCTACGGACTTGAAGGAAGAAAATGAGAGAGACTCATACTACTGCAATACGCCATGTGAGAGATGATGAGATCATGCCTTTGGGTAGTGATCATACAGACAAAAAGTACTGTATAGTTTCAAAAATATGTAGGATGCAAAATGAGTAGGGTTACTGGGTGATAAGTACAGAGATAGAAGTACAGTGTTATACCAGTTCCTGCCTTGGATGGTGCACTTAATTAAGTTAAGAAAATACAACAGAATATTGGAAGGATGAAATAAAATGCTACATTTTGAAATACTGAGTTTAAGATGCTGGTAGGACATCCAAAAGGACATATTCAGTAGACACATGGGTATAAGAAGCTGGAGGTTAGGAGACTATTATACACTTGGGAGCATCAGCATACAGATGATGGCAAATGCAATGGCATGGCTGAAAGTACTCACAGGGAGCAGGTAGAATATGGACCTGTGGAGAGAAGGCACTTAGAGACTAGTTCATCCTGCCTGTCCAAAAGCTTCCATTGCTACTGTTAATACAAGCATTCCCTCAAAACATTTACTGAATATTGAATTCAAGGTTATTCAGTCTGTTAGTCCCAGACTTCTGGATTGGTGTTCAGTATAGCTTTGACTCTTTCGTTTCTTGTCCATAACCCTGCCATGAAAAACTATCATAATAGTTTTAACAGATTTAAGAATGATTTGCTGAAATTAGCTTTAGATGGCTTCCATGAACATTGTTTTGTTCCTTTTGTATCCCCTTTGCCCAAGAAACTCTAGTTCTTCTTTACTCAGTTCTACTACATTATTTAAGTGGGGTAAGAATCACTCAGGATTGGGTAGTTAAGTACAATTTCTCCATAATTACTTGAGTAACAAATTCCATTTCTTCATTCCCTTTCCCCACTCCCTACTAATATCTCCTAAACATTGGGTCACTGAAATCTTAGATTTCAGAATGAGATGGAAGACTATAATAAAAAGAAGAAATTCAAAGAAAAAAATGTGTGCATTAGGTGCAATAGAAGGTATTGGCGGGGGCGGGATGATGCCTGAAGCTGGAGGGAAGGAGAGAGTTTGATATTGGAAATAAAGATTCTTTATGCGAGGGAGATTCAGGTAACAACAAGTTCACCAGAGGCAGGATGGTTGAAATGATAATTCTAATAGAATTTGATCATTAGAATTGAAAAATGGGCACTAAAGTAATCCAGAACAATAGCACAACTTGGGGCAGACAGAAGTTCTTCATCCAAAACTTGGCAGCAAATAGTAATTATAAACCAAGTTGAGAGATGGCGGGATAACAAGATATCATGAGCCTTAAAGGAGGCAGAGTTTTTAGCTTTTATACTTCCGTGAATGAAAAGTGGAATATGTCTGTCTGAAATCAGCCTTGGGTTGCTGACTCCTACTCTGTGGCCTGAAGAATGTGTGATATGGAAGTAATCTTATCTGGAAAGGCTACAGAGGGAGAG